TCGCGTGTATCAAGACGGCTGTCGTGCCATCCACAACTTACGATTCTACTTACGAGATAGTGCTAGCACCCTAGTCATGAGTTGTATGCTTCATGCATGTGATTGACAAGCGATCATGTACCTTGGTAACGTATTTGGCCAGGACTACAATTGCAGAAAACCATCACTCTTCGTCAGGCTAGGCGGTCTTGTGCACAGTAAAGGTTATATGACTTGATCGGAGTGGTGCGCAGCTTGAGGACGATATTAAAGAAAATGCCGTCTTACGCACTTGAACAGTGCGGCCAGGATGCTTGTCATGCTTCGCATTAGAGGAGCCGACAAGGTCCCGCCTACAATCACAGGCACTCCTTCTCGGGGACGCTATGCATGGACCTGATAAGTGTCGAGCACGAATACTCCAACCGCAGTGATGATCAGCACTCTGAGTGAAGCGGAGCGGAGACGGGTATGAGCTGTGAGCGCAACAATGAAGGTCAATTCGACCGCGTCTGCATGTGGTGGTGCCGCGCCGAAAGCTAGGAAGCTTGTGGGGAAAGAGGCCCTCTTTCGTGCGCCGGGAATACCAGGTATTGGCGTCTTTGAACTGTGGTCGTTTGGGACCGCGGCTCAATGGAAAAAGGATCAAAAGAAACCTGAAGCAAAAACGTTGAATGATGGCATGGGCGAAAATGGAATGTGACAGGAACGTGACGAGTCGCGTGGCCCACGTCATTGGCGTGTCAAGCTTGCAATAGAAGCACTGGACCCAATGAGAAATGACCAGGTATGAGAGCAGAGATAGCCATGGAAATGGTTGGCGATGGTTGGCGCTGGAGGGTGGTGATTTTCCACGGCAGGCGCTAAGGATGGAGTGAAGGTCGATAGTGAACGGCTGCTGCGGCAAATGGCCGGAGGGCAAGGGCAACAGCGACCGAGCGCCAACATGCCTAGGCTAGTAGACCCGCTGCTGCATGCATAACCACTGCCAACGATAGTCTTTCTTCTCTACAAGGGCAAGTCCCATGTGAGCAGATGCTCCGTCTCCCAACCCCCAGCTGCACCTCGCCGTGAGAAAAGAGAGTCACCGCCCGCCATGGACAATCGAGCGTCGCCAACCCCGCCCACCGCTCGCCCCAGGAATTCCGCCTCGTCCATCGCATCCTCCTCCAACACGACGTCACATGCCGCGCCTGCCTCGCAACAGTCTGCCGGTATGCCTTCAAACTCACGGACCGGGCGCGGGAGCACGCCGACGGCCAGCCGGTCTGCCTCCAAACTCATCGACCAGGACAAGCCGACGCGGGCAGCAAGCAAAGACAGCCTCAAACAGAAGATGCTGACCAAGAAGGACGAGCCGCCACAGCTGGGCCGCGCAGATGAAGTATGAGACTCTTTCTTGCATGGCACATGCATCGACTAACCGTCCGCAGCAGCTCAAGGCGCTCAAGTCGGAGTTTGACAGCCTTCGCACGCATCTCACATGCAAGATCTGTGACCGCTTACTCTACCAACCGTACACCATATCCTGCGGGCACACCTACTGCTATACAGTAAGACGCGCACCCTCCCACCGCACATGCCACCCTCTAACATGCCTAGTGTCTCTGCACGTGGTTCGTTGCCAACAAGGCCCGCAAGACATGCCCCGACTGCCGCATCGTCGTAAAGGACCTGCCCGCCCCCGCCTATGTGGTAAGTCAGCCTGCATGCCATTCAACAACAACGTCTAACACAGTTGGTCAGATACGAGACATGACGAGCGTCTTCATCGCGCGAGCCGAACTACTGCCTACGGGCGAGAGCATAGAAGACCACAAGAAGTGGCAGAAAGACGAGGCAGATGCTGTACAGCTGGACAAGGATAACGCGGACCCCCGCGCTGGCGGTCTCTTCAAAGGCTGCTTTAGGCTTCCACCTCACCAAAACCGCCTGTCACTGCAAATCGTGCGCGATCAAGAAGATGGAGTTGACCGATGTCCGCTGTGTACCTGGGAGCTGGAAGACGGCGGATGCACACATTGCGGACTGATATTCGACGAGACAGGCGAAGTCTCATGGGGCAACAGCTTCACCGGCTTCAGTGACATGGACGAGATGTCAGAGCACGACCAAGACGACCTCGACGCCGAAATGGACATGGAGGACCCCGACTACGACGGCTACGGAGACGGCATGGAAGACTGGGGCGCATACCCCCCAGATCAAGGCTCGTTCATGATGCGACGCTTCTTGGACGCTGGCATGGCACCCAATGCAGCGGCATTCGCAAGACGACGACCGATTACGCACAGCGAAGCCGGCAGCCGACGCTCCTACTCACAGAGCATAGTCTCAGACATGTACGGCGACGAAATGGATACGGTCGAGGAGGAAGACGAAGATGGTCTGGACGAGGACTCTTCGATGAACGATTTTATCGATGACGAGGCCGTACCCGCACCGAGTTCACCAAGCGCCGCATCGTCCACTCCTGGCCCTGCTGCCCAGCCTTCGGGTAACAGAGCGCGTGCCCGAGCACGTCGCATCGTCGAATCTGAGTCATCATCAAACCGCTCAAGCACCGTCGAGGAGGAAGACGAAGACGAGGAAGACGAGGGGCCCGTTCGTAGGGGCATGAGGAATCCTGCTCAAACCCGTGTCTTACATCGGGCAAACGGGTCGAGATCCTCCCGTGAGACAGCGTCAACAACCTCCACCGACGTCTCCACTGAGGAGCTCGACGAAGATACACAAGCACTGTTGCGAGAGGAGGGATGGGAGCTACAACGCGACTACGACGACGAGATGGCAGAAGAGGATGAAGATGACAGCGATGGAGGAAGGACGACCGTTGGGTGGGAACCGCTTGCGAACTCAAATGACAGAAGCCGAATGGGCGGTTCTCTAACACCTACTGCAGATCGTCCTCGGCCTAGTGCCCCGATACGCCCGCCTTCCAGAACCGCCAATGTCCGCGTCTTGAATACCTCGCGTGGTCTCCGCCGAAGATCCTCTGTCCTGTCGAGCGCGACAGCCCACTACGAAGACGGGGAAGCGGACGACGATGACTCTGACCAAGATGGCGACGTCGATCTAGCCCTGAACACCCTGCGGACGCGCCGCTCACAAGCCCATCTGCGAAACCCTGCAGCTCGCGCTTACAACCAGGGGCCTGCTGCTGCGGATGGAACCAACGAGGCGGACACTGATGATAACTCGGATAATTCCCAGGGGCACAGGCGAGGGGCTCCTCGTGTGCAACGCCGGGAATACGATCCGCGTATCAGCTGGATGTTCGCTGCCCATCAACAAGCTCTCCAACAACACCAGATGGCAGGCGCCTTGATAGACGTTGAACCACGCACCATGACACCGCTGTCTCGCCCTCGAACAAGGAACAGAAATCGGCCCAGTCCCGCGCAAGCCTATTCCCCCTTTCTACCTCCTGCGCGCATTCGAACGCCGCTTATGGACAATGGCACGAACTATATCATGGATCCGCGACTCCCAATATCGCCACCTCGACGAAGCGCCATGTCGCCTGGCTTACCAGCGATGGGCAATGCCGGCAACATGAGCCGCTTTGATCGTGCGCCTTCTGTTGGTTCCAACAGCAATAGTTCTGCCGTCTTGACCCCTGGAAGTTCCTCAGCCTCTTCGCAACACTCCATCGATACGATAGCACAGACACAGGCAGCTGCAGCCATGGACATGATAGATCGTCCTATAAGTCGAGTCGGTGCTCGCCCATCTTCGGCAAATAGCAGGAGGAACTCTGGCAACTTTGCCGCAGCGAACGCATTTCCTCATGCTGCCATGGGCTTGCATGTCCAGGGTGCGGCTCTTCCTCCTTTTGCTGCGCGCGGTAACCCTTGGGCTGCATTTGTGCAGGCACGTGGTGTGCGCAATCGTAACTCACGTCAAGTTCTTCGTGATCAGTCTTCGGTAGCTACCTTGCGCCCAGCAAGCTCTCGCGTCAATATTAGGGAGGCTGGCAACCCTCCGCAAGGCGTGAGGCCTCAGCCATCACGTCTCAATTTACGACCTCAGCCATCGCGGCGCCAACTCGCTCCCCAGCCATCTACACGAGCCTTACGCACGGCTGATAATGGGAGACCACCCCCATCACCTACACAGAACGTACAAGCCCCTGCGCAACCTGCTGCTCGTTCCGTCGGGCTGACTCCGGACGAACGCAATCTTCGGGCTCGGGAACTTATCGAGACCAGAAGACAAGCACTTGGTCAGCGAGACACGAGTGTGCCCGCTCGTACCAATCCCTTCACACAAGGCTTCCAGCGTCCGGCGAATCCAACTGGCTCTCCTCAGATGCAGCAGCCAGCTACAGCACAGCACGTGAGGAGTAATTCAAACGAGTCCAGCAACTCCACTGGGACGGTTCAAGGTGCTCCTGCATCACCAGTGCTTGGTCGACGCCGTAGCAACCGCAACATGCTGAACTCTACGCCACCCGGTGTTCTCCCACCGCAACAAGGTGCTTATGCAGCTCCTCCCGCACAGTATGCAAACAGCTACTACCGACCACGACCAGGTTCTTCGGGCTCACCCGGAGCATATGAACCCACTTTGACGAACAACACGCGGGGAAGTCCTATGATGGCGGGCCCTCTGATCTAACACGACATCATATGATAACATACATTTCCTTTATATTATCGCTTTGTTGCTTTGGTGTTGTGGGCATCACACTCCTTTGGTCTTGGATTATTCTTATCTTTTGGGGCTAAGAGCACGGCGAGCGTCTGTTTGTTTTTACGTCTGTTTTTAGCGGCATCAAAATGGGTTCAGCGAGCTTTGTCGAAGCATTTACTGGCGTCATTCATTCGGGTATTATACCATGGCATGAGCGATTGGGTTCTGGGCAGGCATAAACATGAACGATGGGGAAGAAAGGGGATATTATCTTAGGTTATTCGCATTTGGGGTGATGAATATGAGATTTTTGATGGTGCTATACTTGGAACTACACGACGGTGACAAGCTAAGTATGTTCTGAAGCAGCTTCTCCAGACTTGGTCTTAGAGTTGCTTGCCCTGGTTCTTCTTTGCTTCCTGTTCCTCCTCTTCTGGCTCCTCTTCTGAGTCCTCTTCTAGATTGTCTTCATCTCCTTCCTCAGCCTCTTCTACTTCGTCATCTACTTCGTCTCCTTCCACTTCATCTCCCTGTTGCTTCTTTCGCTTTGCATTCTGCTCCTTCTGCTTTCGCTCCCTGTTTGCCCGTCCCTCACTCCACACCTCCGTGTTCTTATCTCTACACTCCTTACAGTTCACCCAGTTGGAACGGGCGTTGTCTTCCAGGTAGTTCTCCTCACACTGTTTGCATAATCTCGGCTCCTTCTTGCTTCCGCCCTTATTAACGCTTGTCTTCTTGATGGCTGCTCTGTTGACCTTTGTCTTGGCGGCTGTTTTCTTGATGCGCGTCTTCTTTGCTTCGACTTCTTGCTCATTCTCACTCTCTTCATCATCTTTGTCATCCTCAGCTCCTTCATCGTCGTTGTTATTGCCTACTGGCGCAGCAGAAGACCTCAGTTCGAAGCCATAGAGAAAGTGGAGTCTGTCTGTCTTTTCCTTGAGTTCCTTCTGTAGAGCTGCGATGCGCTCAATCAGGGTTTTGATCTCCTCACGGAAAGGAATTGGTTGGATGGGAAGTGACATTTCGTAATTTCGCTGTTTTCCATTGACTTATCCCGTGGTATACTTATATGGTATGGCCTGGTTTGTCTATTTGCATGGAGCGAAGTCTAGAGAACGTGCAAGTTGGTCGGAGAATGAAGTTGGAATGTTCGCGTACTTGAGTATGGGCGACATGACAAACTGCATTGTGCGTGAGGAGTGAGACTGATGCTACGGCGTGTTCTCGGAAAGAGTACCATCACTTTTAGTTGCTTAATCCATGACTTCACGTCTTCATTACGGAGATATACACTGAGCTCTAGGCCTGTCCATGCCCATGTCCCATGTCTTCATACCACTAACTGCTCTTCGACATTATGCTAGGCGAAGTCGGTCTACTCCAACGCCTACTCTCCCAATCACTCTTGCTCGTCCATAACCGCATCTATCCTCTTCGACACCCCCTCTAGGTGCTCATGGGACCTCTTCTCAGTCTCCTCCACATTCGCCAAGCCCTTTTTCAGCCATTCTCTCAAGTCTCTGAACCAGTAGTATGCCGATTCTTCCATCTTCTCCTCCTCCTCCCTCAACTCTTTAGTCAATTTCCCCGCAGCCTCAGCTCTAACCCGATTTCCATCACGGTTCCTGACGGCGACCGCCTTGGTGAATGAAGTGAGTCTTTCGTTTAGTCCTGATTTGTCCGCGGTCTTGATATTGCGTTCCATGCGATCGAATCGTTGGGCAAGACTTTGTATGTCAGTTCTGATTGCACTAATGTCCTCTAGGAGAAGTTGGCTAGCATCTTTGGCGGGTTGGGTGGCCGGTTTGATGTCTTTCTTCTGGAGGAATGGGGGGTCCATTGAGCTTGTGTCTCCTGTCGTTGTGGTGATGAGATTTAAGATGAACAGGATACGAAGAAGTGAGAAGGCGGATGTCTTATAGTGCTACTACACTACATCCCTTGGGGGTTTGTCACAAACCGAATGACTGGATCGCATGATTACATGGCAAATCAGCGGTTTTCTTATTCGTGGTACGCATGCTATGAGCTCGATAGCCGTCCTCGATCGCTAAGAGCCTCCTAGTGACGAGGCGATTGCACATCGAAACAATGATTTGGCCTTGTTTCCATCAGCGATGATTCAATCAAGGTGTTGTGTCACGCCTATGATAACAAACACTACAAAATTGGGGTAGATACGTGGAGGCGATGCATCCACCGATCTAAAGACAACAACCATCTGCCCGACGTCCCAACTAACCACCTCCCTCCCCCGTCCTTCCATCTTGACTATCAGCTACTTTTCAAGCTCGTCAACCCTCTTCGTAACCTTCTCAACCGCATTCCCCACCATCCACTCCAACTTCTCATAAATCCATTCCGGCCCCGCAACAGTCACAGCCTTCCTCGCGTATTCTTTCTGCACCTCCTGCATCATCTCAGTCTTCATCTCATCCAGAACCATACATGAAACCATGTTTGGAATCATCTCCCCCCTCACGGTTTCTTCCACGCAGGTTTCCAACAGGGATTGGAATTCCTTGATCTTATCCGTGATGGTCTTCCTGCCTTCTTCTGCGTCGTTGCGGATCTTGGCTGTGCTTTCGGTGGTGAGAGTATTGACAGTGTTGGTGAAGGCGACAGTTGCGGTGACGAGAGCCATTTTGCTCGCGGGTTCTGCGTTCTTGTTTCGCAGGTTGTTGATCTCGCTGGGGAGATCTTTTGTGTCGTTCTTCAGGATGTTCAACTCGTTTTGGAGGTGCTGCAGAGTAGTTTCCATGGCTTTCTGTTTGGTTTGTCGGGAAGGGGACATGGCGTGATGGTATGATGAGAGAACGGTACCGGATGGCGAGAGATAGGTTGTCTTATACAAATTTGGAAATTAAATGAGTTGCGCTCAATGAGTGCTGCGCGTGGGCTGGATAGCAAATACACATGCTATCTTATGATCTCGGACGCAGTACGCATGTCACGTCAACCCTACGCGTGAGTTGCAAGCATTCATTTCATTACCCCTCGTCTCATTCACATCCGTTCCCTACCGCGATACCTCTTAGCGTTTACTTATCATCTCTAGGTCACAGCGATTACGCGTTGGAGAAATGTGGGAGATTTAGGAGAAATTAGAGCTTGACTAGTTACTCAGCGAGTTCGCCGTGCTCATACTCTTGACAGCCGATGTTCCAGTCCGAAAGACATGAAAGGCCGCGGTGATGATACAGCCGACAAGCTCCTCTCCTCGTACACCAACACGATCGACGATGTACATCAAATACCCCTTCATGATACCAATCCACCAAGTAGACGCCCGCTTGTAGCACCGCGACGAAAGTCTCTCGTAAGATTCCAACACCCTCCTCTCCGTGCACGGCCGCCGATAAAGTTGATTAGTCCTGATTCTTGAACTCGCTGAGCTTCTCAAGCGGCCGACCCTTCAACAGTTTCAGCTCCTTACGGTAAGCTTTTCCTGCCTGTCCATCTGCCTCTGCCTCAGCCGTCGACTTCAGCTTCTCTAGCAGAGCCTTATTCTTCTTGAAGAGGTTCCGATAGTGCGTGAACATACCGACCATACGCGTTTGTAGCAGGCCCTTGTCTTTGATGGCGGCCTTCTTCTGCATCTTCATCTCGTGCTTCGACTCGGAGTCTCGGCTGAGCTCGGCAAGCTGTTCACCTCGCTCGCGGAAGTCTCCATCCAACTTGGCGAGTTGTTGTTGCAGTTTCTCGATGTGCTCGCGTGCGACTGAAGCTTCTTCTGCTGACTGCTTCGCGGCTTTCTGGTTGTCGATAGCGGTACGGCGCTCAGTGCCCAGCTCCGCGAGTTTGCCGGACATGTCGGTGTTTTGTGCAGCCAACCCTTTGTTCCTTGCCTTGAAGCGCTTGATCTCATTCTTGAGTTTCTTAGTCTCAGCTATGGCGGCCTTGACGTCTCCATTGGATCGTCGCATCTTCTTGGACGCAAAGAGCTTCTTCTGCTCACAGAGGTCCTGTGTCAAGGCGGAGACATTGGCCCTCAGAGTACTGTGCTCGTCTTTGAGTTGCTCGAAATTGTTTGTGAGGTCGGTATTCTCTCCTGTGAGCTTCTCGTTGCGTTCACGTAGCGTCTTCAGATCTTCTTCGTGCTCGTCTTTGAGTTGCTTGACATTGCGTACAAGTTCAGCATTCTCTCCTGTGAGCTTTGCGTTGCGTTCGCGCAGTATGTCCAGATCTTCTCCGGCAGCTTCTTTCTTTTTTGCCTTGTTCTTCCACATACGAGTCTCATCTTGGAGGAGACTGATGGTGCACAACAGTTGAGTCTTCTCATCAGAGAGCTTCTCGTTGGTCTCACGAAGTATCTGAATCTCCGCACTAGCATCGTCTTGAGCCATGCCCTCCACAGCGCCATGTCCGTCTCGAACTAGCTTGACACTGCGCGTGAGCTTTGTCTTGTCCTCTGTAAGCTTCTTGTTACTCTCGCGAAGTATCTTGATCTCTGTCGAGGCGGTCTTCTCCTTTGCCTCATACCTCGCCTTCAACATGGCTATATGATTCTGGGCGATGAGGTTGTGCGAAACATTCACTCCTCCCTTCTGCTTGACTGCTTCTTCTAGCTGCGCGATGTACTGATCAGTACGCTCTTGCTCTTCAAGGAGGGATTTCTCTTGGCTTTCCAAGGCCTCCTTGCCCAGCGCTGCTTCCAGAACTTTGCGTGTCGCGAGCATGAATGTAGATTTCTGTCCTGGGCCACGCGCCGTGGTGTTGATCTCAGCAGCAATAGTCAAGGCATTTCTATCGCCGATCTGCGCTCTAGCCGCAGAGCTGGAGGAGACTGCCCAGGTCGAGAAGTCAGAGGGTCCCGTATGCATTGGATCTTGACCAATACTGACTGGTTTTCTGGCCGCAGGGCTTGGTGAGAGAGCTTGAGCGAAGATGTTGTTGGAGTTGACGCGTGGTGTAGCTTGATCACCCTCGCTTCGCTTTCTGGTCGCAGAGGTAGGAGTGACAGCCTGAGCTGATACGTTGTTGATTTTCGTACGCTTTGTATCCTGAGGTCCGCCGTTCCGCTTCTTGGCCGCCGGGCTTGGGGAAACCGTCTGAGCTGAGACGTTGTTGGGGTTTGCGCGCTTTTTGGTTGGACGACCGTTGCCTTTCGGGGCGCGTGGCTTCTCGACCGATCGGACGAAGATGATATCGTCGTCGTCGCCCGAGCTGCTCGAATCAGAGCTTAGGATGGTGATTTCTCGTTGCATCTGCTTGTTTTAGTGCCAGTATCTGCTGGGCAGGTTCGGCGCCGAGTACTTACCGTGTCTGCGGACCTGTTGGGTTGTCGTGTTTAGGCAACGGAGCTTTGAGCTGGAAACAGTGACTATCTGTCGAGACTGCCGCACACGCGGTGAAGGTGAGGGTGACTTGCTGCTAGCTCGGGCGGCAGGACGACCGAATTTGGCTATTGTGGTGCACGGTGAAGGAGAGAGTTGTTGCCTTGTAACGTCAAGCATACACGCTGTATCCAGTTATGTAAACATGATCGAAGGTGAAGACGAAACTTTAGCGGATGCTACGGCCTGGTGCCCTTGCGAGTTCAGTTAACAATGAAGGCCTTTCAAGGACATATCGAGGTCATCATATCATATCTGCCACAGCTTCCATGCTCTTATGCGTCGCCCGATTCATATGTGTTTACTGGGGGCAAAGGCAATCTAGCCCGCTTGGTGCCGATTGCGACGCGCGGTGAACGAGAACACAGGCTGCCAGCCATAATCACTGTCAATGACGAATCTATCGAATCGACGAGGGCGTTTCATAATGACTTTCTTGCCAGAGCAAATTGTGTAGATGATGATGATACTGTGATGGTGTCGAAAGGAAGGAGATGTGTTCACTCAAGGTTTAGCTTGGGAAGGCGTCTTCCGCTAATTAGCAACCTGGAAAAGTGCATCATTGACCCACCCCGACACGCGAAGTTAGACTCCTCGATACCAACTGGCAGCTCTTCATGCTGAGTGAAATCGTGGAAACGAAGCTTTGTGATCTTCTTGATCATGATCCTGGATTGCTACTAATA